AAGCTCCGGTAGTGCAACAGCTAGCACGTGTCCCCCGAAGGGGTGAAAAGCGGGTTCAACTCCCGATTGAAGTTCGGAATTTTGCATATCACTCAATTTTCTTGGATATGAAGTCATGAAGTCATAGATCAGCTATACAATCGGTAACATAGAGTATTCATATAGTGGAACCTTCTTGTTATCCTACAGGTTTCGTCAATATGTCAAAACTCCAAGAGCGATGTTCCTAGTATTAGTTCTTCTCATAGGTTTCGGAAACAACGCAATAAACACAAAAATCAATGATATACATGGATTCCGGGTAGTCATTCGATAGCCCGAATCTCGACAATTTTGATGCCAAGTCTGGTTTTTCAAACGGTATATAGAGAGCGTTGTTAGAGCAAAAAGAAAATCCAGTTTCGCACTCGAAGAAGTTAACTCGTCGCCTGAACTTTATGGCGGGTTTATTTGGCAATGTGAGACAAAAAATAAGGTTTTGTACCTATAGAACGATAGAAAAAGTCTCATCTACAATTTTCATACTAAAAACCTAAGAGTTTTCCCGAAGAGGAAAAAAATTTCTAGATAAGCGACGCTGTGAGCAGCGATTTCGGCCACCGCCTCCAAAACGCGCGTCATTTGAGAGCCGCGCGATTTTCTTTGGTTAATTAGAAATTTCTACCCCTTTCCGGAAAAAAATCGTAGGTTTTCCTGTATAAGAATCGTGGAGGAGAATTTGTTCTATCTCTCTATAGGTTCAAAAAAGAATTTATTTTTGTTTCACATTGCCAAATAAACCCACCTTAGAGTTAGTGTTCTATAGATCATCCATCGAATGACTACTATTAATCGGTTGGCTTCCGCGGACCCAAACTGGGTGCGTCTAACTGGCAAAGGCTCTCACCGCCAGCATGAGAACGGCTCCACCCCCCCCCCCCACCGCGACTCGAAGCGCAGCGTGACAATCGCTGACTGTCTCACGATTCTCTGCCACTCGGCATCCGTCCATCGGGAAAGAGGTTACTGGTTCGGTCCCTACCACGATACTTCACTGTATTTTTTCCGTATTATTTTTTGTGTTCATTACAATATGCTCAAATCACTGGCAGACCAAATCACACCATATTTCATATAGTAACACCCTAACACAAGCGATCAATCTATATAATTTACCCAATAATGTGGAGTGCTGTGCAAAAACATTCGCGTTAGCCGGGATTCGAACCCAGATCTCACTCTTTCCGGAGAAAGTGAGATCTCCCGCTCTCTCGTATGAGAGTGAGATCTCTCATACGCTCCCGGAAAGAGTAAGATCTGGGTTCGAATCCCGGCTGACGCAAATGTTTTTGCACAGCACTCCACATTATTGGTCATATTGCAAGATCATACCACCGCAAGTGGCGTTCAGATAAAAAGAATTCTGATTGATTATCTTTATAATTTATTTATCACCTTTTATTCAACAATCTGCAACTGTTAACAGCATAATATATTTACATATAACATGATAAATGGTGATAAATACATTATAAACATTGATCGCTTGTCTTGGCTGATAGCTAACATTGAGATGTTGAAGAATGAGTGGCCGGGCGAATGTGCATCGGTGGTGTAGTGGTAGAGCACGCGTCCCCGGATAGGATGATATGCGGGTTCGATTCGCGCCTGAGGCTGTGTTTTTGCTCGCCACTCAAATCTCTTAGGTATATAGAAAACTTCATAACAATGCGAAATGCATTAAAATACTATTAATTCTGAGTATTAGTAATTGATCGCTTGTTTCATGGTGTTACTATCTAAGACACGGTGTGATTAGGTGTGCCTGTGATTCAAATATATTGTAATGAAAACAGAAAAAATGAGTGATTTGAGCATATTGTAGTGAAACAAGATAACAGAAAAAAAACTAACGTGAAGAGTTGTCGTAGGCGATTGAACCAACAACCTTTTTCCCGATGGACGGTGCCGAGTGGCAGAGAGGAGTTAGACGGAACAGACAGTGATTGACTGAGGTTGAAGCCACAAGGGGGGAGGGGGGTGGAGGTGTTTCCATGCTGATTGTAAGAGCCCTTGCCAGCCAGACACGATCAGTTTGGGTCCGCGGAAGTCAACCGATTGATCCATGTATAATGTTGAATTTGGTGTTGATTGCTCTGGTTGTGCCAAGCTTTACAAGAAGACCTAATAACTCGTCCAAGCTTGGAAATCTGTAAAACCAAGTCGTCACTGAAAGTCTCCCGTGGATGATTACGAGATCAATTCAAAGAAAGAGAGATATCTCAGATAAAACGGGAGGATTGTTACAGCCTGAGAGATCTACGGGAAAGTGAACGGAGTACGACGCTATCCTTCAGGCAATGTATATTCAGTGAAGTTCGCCATATACTAGGAGGAATCAGAATGAAGTTCGTGAATGGTTATCCAACCTGAAAGGTCACGCAAACCCCTGTGACTCTCTCATGTCACCGGAAATCACTCATTATCGGTGGGTCATCGCGAATTTTATCTTCGTGTCGTAAAGGTGGAGAGAGATAGAATTCTGGGCGCAGATCAGATCCTAAGGGATGCCCTTATGCACTCGTTTTTCTCAAGCATCTTTAGAGGTGACTAAGTGCATAACTGGCCTTTACAATGACTCGCGGTGACCAACCTGTAGCAAGTCAGCGCTGCTATCCTCCTAGACGAGTCGGGTAGCGATTCACCGACATCGGAGTGAAAGGCCTGGTAAGTCTTGAGCGAGGGATCGAACCACTGCACGTGTGTGCCTCACGGTATCTCTAGCCACCTCCACTGTGAAGGAAACCAGCACCTCTAGATGTGATTCGTGTCGTCGCATTCGTCATCGATGAAGGTTTTTTAACATCTCGCGTGTCGGAGTTCGCTTCCCGTTTGAGAATTCGTTCTTCTTTATGAATGTCGTTGACTGCTGGTCGCGTCGATTCTACCTAAAGTCGTGGGATAACCCAACTAGAACGTCCTCGCTTGAACTGCACAGAGCGCTACAGCTCCTAAACAAGTCTGGTATCAACTTTACCGACCCAGATGGATGAGAGGAAGTGCAAAGCAGACCCGGATCAGCACCACGGTGTTAGAGGCACGATGTATGGACTTACACTGTACAGCGAGTGTGTGTGATGATCTAACTCCATCAGCTAACATCGGTTGCGATTCCCTTGGGGATGCGCCACGTCTTCGACTTCATTGTATCGTTCAGTGTGATCAAGGGCATATCTGGCCCTATTCAATAACATGAGTAATCCAACCATGCGCCACATCAGTAATGCTACCATCGCAGACAAGTCCGGCATCAATTCACCGATTAGGCAGATGTGGAGGGCGTGATGAGCCCAAAGAAACTTCTTCTCTGCTTTATTTGACTCTTATCGCAGTTCTGCCCTAACGTATGCAGCAGAAACGTGGTCGCTACGTAAGCGGGATGTAGATCACTTGGCGTTATCGAACGCGCAGTCGAAAGGTCGATGCTGGGAGTATCCCGTATCTCGCAAATGAGAGAAGGGATCCCAAGTTTCGACCTACGTCAATGATCGAGAATCAGAGACGCCGTTCTACACGCCAGGATATCGAAAATAAGGTGGGCCGGACGCGTGATGCGCTTCAACGACAACCGATGGACGAGAGCCGTTACCGATTGGATTCCACGCGACGTTAAGCGCTGTAAAGGAAGACCACCGACCCGATGGTCCGATTTCTTCACGAAAGCGATAGAAGAAAGATATGATGCTCAGCAAATGCCTAGAGCGAGGAGGACCCACTGGGCTACTCTTGCACGCGATAGGGAAAAATGGAAGAGTTGCTGGTACCCGCTCGAGTCACTCGATGATCAACGGGACGACAGGTGATACAGGTGATTGCAGTTCTGCTCTCCACAGTTCGGGTCCCAGTACGTCTAGCATCCGATTTGTCTCCTCGCTTACTTGAGGATATCATCTTCTTCACGAACGTCGCAGATTACTAGTGGAGCACACCTCTTTGCAACCTCGAGGATAGCCAGACTGAGGCTCTCTACGGCGTTTGTTATCGAATGCAGGAGAGCGGTGAAAGGCTGCGGGATCGATTACGCGGTCGGCCGCGTCGATCATCACTAGCCACTCGGTGTAGCCCCTCCCAGCTTGAATAGAAGTCGAAAACATATTTAAAAAAAAAAAAAAATTCATTCTGGAATTTTTTGCTGGCCTGGCCAATGTTTGAAAAGAGTTCGAATCTCGTAGCAAAACGGTAAAAGAACAACTTCGGCATGAAAACACAACACACTTGAAAAGAGATCAAAGGATGAAGCTCTCGGCATTGATGAATTCCTGAGGGTGCGCCATGCAATCGTCTCCAATTTTTAGCTCGTCTTAGCTAACTGAGTGCATTTCTGGCCCTTACCATGACTCACTGTGGCCTTCTGCTGTATCGAATCAGTACTGCTTATCCTCCGAGACGAGTCTGGTATCAACCGACCTAAGAGGGATGGGTGGGATTGGTGAGCCATGAGCACGGGATCGAACCATTGACCTTGTGTGCGATGCAAAGCACCTCTAACCACTACATCACATATTTGGTACCTGACACAATTATATACTGCACTACAGGGCTTGTTATCACAATTCTCTGGAAAAATCCCAGCACTTGCAGTTGCTTCGTTTCGTCGTATTCGTCCTCCACAATAGTCTTCGAACATTCCATGTGGTCGAAATTTCGTTACTGCATTTTTCGCAGTGTTATCATATTTCGTAAATACCTAAGAGAATTGAGCGGTGAGCAGAAACACGGCCCCAGGCGGGAATCGAACCCGCGTTTCATCCATACCGAGGACGCGTGCTCCACCACTACACCACCGAGGCACAATTGCGCCACCACTCATTCTTCAACATCTCTATGTTAGCTATCAGCCACCAACCTTTAACAGATTTGGTCGTGTATGCGATTTCGCTTTATAAACCCAGTTGAGCTGACAGCTATCCTAATTACTAATACTCGTAATAATGTTGAAGAATGAGTGGTCGGGCAAATGTGCCTCGGTGGTGTGGTGGTTAGAGCGCGCGTCTCCACATAGGATGAAACGCGGGTTCGATTCCCGCTTGGGCCGTGTTTTTGCTCACCGCTCAATTCTCTTAGGTATCCATTTTTGTTTCGGCAGACGCTTGAAGACAGCGACTTTACAAATGTCGGGGAATCCCGGTCGAGAAAATCCTTTTGTAATCGCGGTAGCAGAGTACACAGGAGTTGCTGTTTATTGGTTGGAGAAAAAGTGCTAGAAAAGTCCACAAATCATTTATCTACTTATATTATTATCCTTATAATTACATAAGTTATGAGCGCCGTGGCCGAGTGGTTGTGATGCTGGTCGCAGCGCGCGTGGAGCCGAACCCCACCCCGCCTCCACACTCCCTTGCAGTCAACAACGAACGCCCCCTGAAACGCCACAGCCTGGCTATCCTCCAGATTGCAAGGAGGCTCGCCCAACCAGTATTCCATGACTTTAAGAAGTCGAAAAACGAACTGAATGCTGGAAGTACTAGGATCCGTTCGGTGAAAGAAAACACTGTGAAGGCGGATAATAAATTGACACCCATTGATGTAGAGTGATGTGCAAAACTTTCGCGTCAGTTGGGACTCGAACCCGCATCTCACTCTTTCCGGAAATGCGTGCTCTATCCGTTACACTACTGATGTCCATTTTGCACATCGCCCTTTCTACTCTCCAACTAAATTTAGACACTTTCTTGATCCGTCGTAACAGTGTTCTTTTTTTCACTGTGCAGATCCCAGTACTCTAGCATCTAATTCGTTTCTTCGTCTTCTTCCTGAAAGTCGTAGAATACTGGCTAAGAGGGTTTCGTTGGAATCTCGAGGATATCCAGGCTGTGGCGTTCCAGAGGGCGCTCGCTGTTGACTGCCGGAGAGGGTTAGGGGCGGAGCTCGGCCACGGCGCCCCGGATTTCAAATTGTCAAATCGTAAATTATTCAAATGACATTATGATAACAATAACAATGACATAATATGGCATTATAGGATAATTTGATGATGTAATATTTGCGTAAAATTAAATAAAAAATAAGAAAATTTTTTTATAAATTAGATTATTGAAATTTTTACTAGCCGCTTATTATAGCTACCAAACAGATTATTTATTCGATCAGTTGTCATAATAAAAATATAATACACATATAGGCACCGAAACGAGGCAAAATGCCAGCAACAGAGCTCGAGCAATCGTTTTACACTCTCATTTCACTATAGTGTAATTTTACGTCGCATTTGTGCTTTGTACGTAATTTTGCGTCCATTCGTCTGCAATTGCGGATGTCGTTGAATGTCCGAACGCGAAATCCTCGACATCCGGTGGGGGGTGTCGTTTTCTCAGTGATTATTTTTATTCTTATTTGAATCAGATTTTCTAATTTCTCGTCTTTATTTTTTTGTGTAATTTGACGTCGTTCATGTCATGTACGTAATTTTACGTCCATTTGCCTGCGCGTAATCGAATTTCGTCCTCAGAATGTCGTCGGAGGAAATCCTCGTTACCTAGTGGATTGTTCACTTCTAAGCGCTTGCTTCCACTCGTACGATGAATTTTCTTCTGTAATTTTATGACGCTTGTATTAACGAAATTTTGTGTCTAGTTGACTCAGTGAAATTTCCTCGTGAGTGCGAATTCTCGTTATCGACTGGATAATTGTCGTCCCTACGGTTCCTTCTGAATTTCTACGAACCAGCTTCCCATTTCTCTCCTGTTTTTTTCTTTTTATCATCAAATGCAAGAAGCGACTTTTATGATATTTCGGTTTATAAAGTGGATTTTTTGTCAAGAGTGTCTTACGAGCTCGTCTTTGAAGGTTAAGTAGAACACGACAAATCGACCTCAGGCGGTAGTCGAACTCTCGTTTTCACCCTCCCCCCCCCCCCCCCCTCCCTGGTGCTCAATACTTTTAGTGGTGTATTCCACCTGTTTCGTCCCTACAGAGCAGAACCCGTCGGCTTTCAATATTTTTATAGTCAGTTCTCTCGGAGCTCTGCTCCCTTACATAGAGTTATCGAAGACGAACGTTTTACACTCAATGTCAAGCGAAATTGTCACCTCTCTATGTTAGTCTCCTGTCGCATAAGACTGTTGATAAAAATACCAGCCAAAGAGAAATCGAGTGCGAAAACACTCTGTGTTAGGTGAAAATTTCACTTGACATAGAATGTAAAACCTTCGTCTTCGATAACTCTCTGTAGGGAGAGCGGGGCTCCCGAGAGAATTGACTATAGAAATTTCGGCGGACGACGGGTTCTGCCCGACTGACGAGTCTGTAAGGACGAAACACGTCTATCGTGCTGCACAAGAGCTCTTAGCAGACCACATGACAAGTTGGCTCAATTAATAATGAAAGGAACTTTTAGTTGTATATTCGTGACATCGTACCGCTGCTTGAAAGCAGTGAAATCAAAATATGGATTGTCTTACAAGCTGACCTTTTTCCTGAGATTGTGCGAGGTAGTTATATTGCCCTCAGAATCGGTGTTTAATGTTTCGCTGTCTTCACCTTTGTCAGAACATGAACGTTCTTCGCTAATGCAATGCTGTTCGTATGTAGTTTTGTGTACCACATAATGTTATCAAGAAAATCTGTTCTATACCTATAATAGTGAGAAGTGCATGTGGTGAAGTGGTTCAAGGTGCTCTACGTCCCACACAATGTCGATGGTTCCATCTCGCGCTCGTGCCTTGCCAAGCTTTCTGTCTTTTCGGGGTCGGTGAATTGGTACCGCAGTGGTCTCAGACTTGTTTGGGAGGATAGCATTGCTGACTCGATACATCATCGATGGAACACCGCGGATCATTCATTGTAAAGGTTCGATGTCTGTTCAGTCACTTCAAACGAAGCTAGGTGATCAGCTCCTAGGACTCTATCCTTTATCCTTCATTTTAGTGGAAATTCATGAAAGCTGTCTTTCACGTACTTGTACAAAAAGTGATACCGGTATGCTGTCACACTTTCTTGAATAATGATCCTACTCAGAATTTCCGTATCCCGTATCTCGCAAATGAAAGACAGTGCACTTCAACGTCAGCTGATGCACGAGAGCCGTACCGACGAGATTCCTCGTGATATCAAGCACTCTACAGAAAGACCACCGCTACCCGATGGTCCGATTTCTTTACGAAAAGCTTGCAAAAGGAGTTATGATGCTCAGCGAATCCCTGGGAAAACCCTCTTAGCTACTCTTGCACGCTGTAGCGAGAAATGAAAATGTCGCTAGTGCCAGCTCGAGTCACTCGACAATAACCGGGCGATAGGTGATACAGATGATGCTCAGAATTTGAGATGAAGTGCAATATCGTCTGTGATGCTCAGACACTTTTCCCTTCTATCTAGTCGTGGACTTTTGAAATATATCCAGTGCGTTTCAAGGGCTTTCCGCATCGACTCAAAGCCCCCACCCTCAGAATTCTACCTCTTCATATCGTCACCGTTCAGTCTTTATGCCGTATATACACCTAAAGGACCGTTCTACGACTATTCGACTTCCCATCTAAGTGCTCTTTTAATCAGACGCAAAGTGGCCTACTCGTTTCGTTTGTGTTCGTCCCCACATAACCCACAAGAGACGATTTTTTTTCAGACGCCGTTTTTTCAGGTCTTAAACTTCCTATATTCTTCGTATGACATGATGATGATTTCTCGAATAAAGTGACACTTAAGAGCCTGAAGGGATAAGGGATGGGAGCTCTCGGCGTTGATCAATTCCTCAGGGATGCGCCACGCATTCGGCTTCATCAAGCATCGTTTGAGATAATTGAATGCAAATCTGGCGCTCGCGGTGGCCTGCCGATGGATCAAGTTAGTGCTGCTGTCCGCCTAGACTAGTCTGATATTAGTTTACTGACCCTGAAGAGATACGAAGTTCAGTGAACCCGTGTGCGTCGCGAGGCACCTGTAAGCACTGCGGCACACGCGCTCGCTAATAACTTTAGTAGATTTTTATCAATATATAAGGATCCAGAGGCACATATTAGTAGTACTACATACAAATATGTCTGGGCTTTGAGGAAAGCGATGTCCCCGAGACGCCGGCCATCAATTTTGAATAGGTTGTCAAGTTCTCACGAGCTTTTAAAGAAAGGCAGCTTGTGAGATGCTTCTCCTCCTTGTCATTGTACTTTCTCTACATTTTTTCCTTTTTAGTCCTCATTTCTTCCAACTTTTCCTGCCCATTACTTGATTGCAAGACAATTTTGTCTTGGATTAGTTGCCCGTCCTTTTCTTGGACTCATCGAGATAGTTTCGTTGAAGTGAAGATGCTTTTTTGGTGTCAGATTGGTAAGAAAAAAATTTTTTGTCACTAGGTAATCATCAGAATGACTTCCATGGACATGTCACTCGATGAAATTATCGCAAAAAATCGGCAGGAGAGAAGAGGTATGACTGAGAAAATCACAGTTCTTTGATTTACTCTTCTGGTGATCTTCTGGATAAAAACTTCCTTTCCTCTCGAAATTCTTCTGTCTTTTTTTTAGGATTCCGAAAAGGTTTCGGTGCACGAAATGGCCGACGATATGGAAGATATAAAAGCTATCTCGACTTCGATGCCCCTCTGCCAATTCGTGGTCCTAAGATAGGGGGTATGTTAACAGTTTCGGAATGATAGTTGATCGATGGCGCAACGCGATTCGTAGCGACGCGCATTTTTTGTTATTTAATTAGAGTTTTTATTCTTGGTTGTGAGAAATCTCCAGGTTTTATGTGTTTCTCTGATACTCCACGATTTTCTGTACACGATCTGATGCTTTTGACTCTTATACATCTTCTAGGTTTGAAGAAAATTCCTAGAATGAAGCGTTGTTTTTTTATGCTCTCACAGCGCTATATGGAGATCTTCCCAAAGACAAATCAACTTTTGAATCATCGGGAATTTTAGGTATCAAATGTGGATCAAAAATCAGTGAGAGACCATCCGCAGACCTCAGTCGTGCAAACAAAACCACTCGCTTGTAAAACACAGTCTTATTTTCGCTGCTACAGTCCCATAAAGAGGCCTTTTTAGAAACCAAGTGCAGCGTTAGAATAACCGTACTTTGTTATACCACTATTAGTCTA